GTATTTAACGCACTTAATGCGGAGATGGAATGGAGAGAGAGGATTCGGGGAGGCGAGGGAGGCGAGGGAGGGAATTATTATAATTACTTGGGGACCAAAACTTGTTCGTGTTGGGAGAGGGGAGAGAGAGAGAGAGAGGGGAACAGGGGAGGAAGGAGGAATGGGAGAAGAGAGAGAGAGAAGAGACGAGAGAACTGTAGCGCAAGAAGGACGAATCAAACCTGGCGGTATTTGCAACCCTCGCGCTGAACGAAGCTGCAAGAATACAAAATACTTGCAACAGAGGTGAAGCCAAAGACGGGTTTGTTTACGTTCTTGCGCATAAACTCTTCCTCGCTTTCCTCCCGCTCATATTCACGCTCTTCCCCCTTCTCCTTCCCTCCTCGCTCTTCCCCTTCTCCCTTCCCTCCACGCTTCTTCCCCCCCTTCTCCCTCCTCCACGCTCTTCCCCCCCTTCTCCCCTTCCCTCCACGCTCTTCCCCCCTTCCCTCCCTCTCTTCCCCTTCCTCCGCTCTTCCCCCCTTCTCCGCTCCCCTCTCCCTCCCACGCTCTTCCCCCTTCTCCTTCCTCCTCGCACGCTCTTCCCCCCTCCCCTCCCTCTCCCTCTCCTTCCCTCCCGGCACCCCTCGCAAGCCTCCTTAAACATTTCGTCCTTGCAACGCCATGTTTAAGTATCTATTTCCACCGCTTACAAACGCAATCTTTCCACACACATCACACATACACGCCAAAAAATCACAAAAAAACACAACACAGACACAGAACTCTTCCCCTCCCCAAAACACGCCCACGCAAATACACACACGTACAAGCACACGCGCGCACAAACGCACACACACACACAAACATACGCACACGCACGCACACACCTCTCCTGGCTATACTCTTTAAGCGCATATTTTCCTGCTGTTGAGCGTCTTTGCCCCGATTTTTTTGCTGTCTTGGCCTTCGACGCTTCTTGCTTGTTTGTTTACGTAGAAGGGAGACAGATAGATGGGAAGAAAAGGGAAATGAGAGAGAGAGAGAGAATGAGAGAGAGAGCGAGAGAGAGAGAGAGAGAGAGAGATAGATAGATAGATAGAGAGAGAGAGAGAGAGAGAGAGAGAGAGAGAGAGGAATGACAAAAGAAAGATAGAAAGATAAGGGAACTGAGAGAGAGGGAAAGGATAGAAAGAAAAGGGGAATAAGAGAGAGGGAGAGGAATGAAGGAAGAGGGATAGGATAGAAAGAAAATGAAAATGAAAGAGAGGGGGAGGAATAAAGAAAGAGTGAGAGGATAAAAAGAAATAGAATAAAGAGAAGGGAGGAAGACGAATGAAAGAGACAAAAGAAAAAATGGGATAAAAAGAGAGACAGAGACAGAGGAGAAACAAAACAAAAGGAGAGACAGAGAAAATGAAAGGAAGCGAGGAACGATAAAAAAGACAAATCTGATAAAAAGTCAAAGAAGATAAGAAACATGGAACTAAAAGGAAAAGGAAATAATTGCAGAAAGAGAGGAAAATAAAATGATATTAAGACGATCATTAAATCACTCCAAAATAAAATCAAAGATGGGAAAAAAAACACAGAATTACAACTTCACGAAAACAAAGATAAAGAGAGAAAATTACAGAAAATGTAGAAAAACATTATAACGAAAGTAATAAGATATAGACAACGAAATTGAAACATAATTAAAAAGTAAAACATCCACGACAGAACCATTAATGATTATTAACAAAACGATAACGAAAATTAGGCCTAATCATTACAAATAAAAAAAGTCCATCCCACCTTTATATTAAAGAAATAATAAAATAAAAAAGCTCTTTCATAAATCCCTATTATGAAAAGAATGAATATTGAAAGAACATGAAAGCATGAAAATGAAAATAATTTAATAGTATCTTATATAATGACGGAAAAATATTATATGATACTAAATCCGCCAACTATATTAATGTTATATTTTCTTTAAATATTAACATGATAACGAGATATCAATATTGATGATGAAAGTGGTAATGATAACTATCAAAATTATTATGATGGTGATACCAGTGATAAAATGATGATTCTGATGATACCAATAACAATAATACCAGAAAAATATAATGGTAGTACTACTCATGATAATAGTTATACAAATAATGCTGATAATGTTAATGATAATAATAATGATAACGATTATAACAAAAATAATGATGATCACATAAATAATAATGATAATCATGATAATGCTAAAGATAACAAAATTAATTATGATAGTAATGATAATGATCATAATGGTAATAATGATAATGGTAATTGTACTTATAGTAATAATACTGATGACAATAAATAGTAGAATATGAAGCATGTTTATTATATTATATATTGATTATTAAAAATTAATGACAACAATGGTAATAATGATCGAATGATGATAACAATAATAATGATAAATGAAAAAATAATAATAATGAATAATAATAAAATATAATAATAATAATAATAATAATAATAATAATAATAATAATAATAATAATAATAATAATAATAATAATAATAACAATGATAATGATAGTGATAACAATGATAATAAATATAATTATTATAATAATGATAATAATGATAATGATAATAATAACAACAGCAATTTTAAAATGATAAAGGAAAGAGTAAGATAAGAACAGTTGAAAATAACATTAATTAAGAGAATAAGAAATAAAAAAAAGATAACCATGGTAATAACAAAGATAATAATAATGTTAATGAAAATAATAAGAAGAACAGTAACAATAATGATGATAATGATAGCATAATAATTACTATAGCAATATCAACAGAAATAGAAATAGAAATAATAGTAATAATGATTATGATGATAATGATAATAATAACAATAGCAATAATAACAATAATAATAATATAATAATAATAATAATAATATAATAATAAATAATAGATAATAATAATAATAATAATAATAATAATAATGATAATAATAATAATAATAATAATGATAATGATAATGATAATGATAATGATAATGATAATGATAATGATAATGATAATGATAATGATAATAATAATAAAAATAATAACTATAATGATGATGAGAGTAATGATAACATCAATAATAATACCAATAATAATTATAATCATGATGCCGATAATGGTAATGGTAATAATATCAAGGTAATAAAGATAATGGAAATAATGATAAGAGCGGTAAAAAAATAATGATGGCAATAAATGATCATTATGAGGATAATGTTAGTAATAATAGTTAATGATAATGATACTGATGATAATAATGATAATGATACAGAAAATAATAACAACAATAACATACATAATAGTGAAAAAAATAGTGATAAAAGTGGTAATAATATCAATAATGATGTTAATGATAATGATAACAATTACAAAAACATTAATAATAACGATAATTCTGATAATAATAGTGTTGACGATGACGATGATGATGATAATGGTGATAAAGATGATCATGACGATCATAATGCTGAAAATAATAATAAGAAGAATAAGAATGATAATAATAGCAGTGACAATATTAACAATATTATTAATAATGATCATCATTGTAGTAATGATGACAATAAAAGTAATAATAATGATAATAGTAATTCTAGTAATAATGATGACAATAGAAATGATGATAGTAATAATAATATAATGATGATGCACTACTAATGATTGTTATTAGTAGAGAAATAAAAAAGGAAATAATAATATAATGATAATGAATAATGAGATAATAATAATGATAATCATCATTATCATCATCCATCATAATAATTGTATCTAATAATTAACAGTAAATAAATAATGTAATAATAATAATTAATAAATAATAATAATAATAATAATAATAATAATAATAATAAGAAGAAGAAGAAGAAGAAGAAGAAGAAGAACAATGATAATAGTAATGATAATAGTAGTGATAATAATGATCATAATGATAATAATATTAATAACAATAACAATAATAATGATAATGATAATAATAGCAATAATAATAACAGCAATAACAAAGATACTAATGATAATGAAATTGCAATGATGAAATATAGATAACAATAACAAAAACAATAAAAGTAACGTTAATAATAACAACAACAATAATAATGTCAATGATCATAAGGAAAATCATTATCATGAGCAATAATGATGATAATAATAGTATTATTAATAGTAGTAGCAGTAGTAATAATGACAACAATGATAATTATAATGATGATAATAATGGTAGTAGGAATTGATATGATAATATTAATGAGAGTGATAGCAATGACAATAACATAAGTCATGATAACAACAATTATATAATGTTAATAATGATTATATCAAAAAAGATCATCACTGCGATAAGACTCGATAATGATTGTAAGAATAATGATAACAATAATGATGATGAAGTGATGATCAATAATAATAATAGTAGTAGTAGTAGTAGCAGTAGTAATACAATGATAGAGATAATAATAGTAATGATAATAATAATGATAGTTGTTATTATTACTATTATCACTATTGTTATTATCATTATCATCATTACTATAATGATAATGATAATGATGTTAATGGTAAAAACAATAATAACAATCATAATGATAAAAACAATTGCATATATCATAACGGTAATGATGATGTTGATGATAATAAAGCAGTAACAATTCAATAATGATAATAATAAGAAGAACAACAATAATAACGAGAACAATAATAAACTTGATATTACTAAGGATAAGGATAACAATGATAATGATAAGAACAATCAGTGTAATGATAGAATAAGATAATAATATATAATAATAATAAATAATAATAATAAAAATAATAATAATGATATAATCAATAATAATGAATAGAAAATAATCAGTAAAAAATAATAACAATGAGATAACAATGACTGATAGAATAAATAATGATCAATGAATAATATGATGATAAGTGGTATGATAATAAATGAAGAATGATAATGATAATATTCTACATGAAGAATATAA